TTTTTTGGTCATGGTGTTTTGTCGCAGCAACAGGAAAGCAAGACATCCATTATGCCTGGCTTCAGTATGCGCTTTTAAAAAGATTTATTTTATTTTTATTTTAAGTATGTGTTTATCTACATGTATTTATGTGCTTCGTGTGCCTGTCTGGTGCACTCTGAGGTGAGAAGAAGGCATTGGATCCCTGTAACTAGAATTATAGATGGTTTTGTTCCACCATAGGGTGCTGGGAACTGAAACCGGATCCTCTGAAAGAGCAGCAAGTGCCCTCCATCTTTCTAACCATCAAGTATGAGGGGGTTCGCATTTTGTTTTGTTTTGTGTTTTTGAGACAGGGTCTCACTAGATAGCCCTAGCTGACCTGAAACTTGCTGTGTAGACCAGGATGGCCTCAAACCCAGAGAGATCCACCTGCCCCTGCTGGAATTAAAGGTGCTGCCACACCTGGCTGAGTGTGACAAATACATAATTATACGGTTGGACCCTAGATTCCAATTACCCAGGAGGAGTCACCCCAAGAGACCATCTCTCACACCACAGCTGATGTAAAAGCATGAGGATTTTATTAATTCTGTCATGAGAGGGTTTTTCAGCATTCTAGAGGCTAGAAAGACCCCGAATGGCTGATACAGGCTATTTTTAAAGGAAAAAAAAAACACAGAAGCAAGGGGGATGTCTGGGGGTTGTTTATTAACTATTTTGATTGGCTTATTCAAAAGGGCTATTACCAATAATTGTTTGGAGAGCCATTGCCAGATCAGATGAGGTAAGGGGGATCATCTGAGGGTCACTTTGCCTCTTTCCCAGGGACTTAGGGGGTGAGAAGACTTGTCTAAAGACAAGGCACTGGGGATTTATCAGTTACATGCCATGCTACCATCAGAAGTGGTTACCCGAATACTTGTCATATAATCGGAATAATCTTGCTCCCACGATAGTAGTGCTGCCTTGATTTTTTTTTTTTTTTTGGTTTTTCGAGACAGGGTTTCTCTGAGTGCTGCCTTGATTAATAGAGAAAGAAACAAATACATGGCTTACTAGAAATTTTGGGTCTCTCCTGGGAAGAGTTTAACCACGCACCTGAATCCTGGAGAGCCAGTCATCAGTCAGGGACTCACAGGTCTGCTGAGCCTCAGTCGTCCCTGTGCTGAGCAGAGGGCACACATCTCCTGAGCAGCAGAGTGCCTCCCAGTGAGCAAGGCCAGCCTATAGGAAATCAATTGCCTGACAAAGCCCAGCTCAGAAATGGTTCGGGGCCCTGAGACTTGCAAGCTCTGCTGGTGGCCCCGTCCTTTTCTTCCTCCCTTTCTCCTTTCACTCTAGCTAGCAAAGCTCACCATCAGGAAGTAAAACCTAACATCTCCCATTCAAAGGACTAACATGGATTATGAAAAATAAGAATAATAATATAGAAATGCTTGGTGTCCACTTGGCTGGTCCGCAACTCACTGTGTCGAGCAGCTTCACTCTGAACTTGTGCAATCCTTTTGCCTTTCCCTCCTGAATGCTGTTATTATACATGCCATCACATCCAGCCCAGAGTTCTGGTTCTTAAACTTGACCCACAATAGGGATAGTAAAAAGGCTGGGAAAGACTCTCAGACAGATTTCTGAACAGGGCAGAAATTCCCAATATTACTCAAATAGAGGAAGGAAAGTATGGATTCAAGTGATACCTTTTGTTGTAGAATATTATTTTTTAAATATTTATTTATTATGTATATAGTGTTCTGTCTACATGTATGCCTGCTGGTCAGGAGAGGGTGTCAAATCTTATTACAGATGGTTGTGAGTGACAGGCTCCAAAGCCACAGAGAAACCCTGTCTCGAAAAACCAAAAAAAAAAAAAAAGAAGAAAGAAATATTGTAACTGTAATTCTTTTTTTTTTTTCTCGAGACAGGATTTCTCCATAACTTCTTTTGGTTCCTGTCCTGGAACTAGCTCTTGTAGACCAGGCTGGCCTCAAACTCACAGAGATCCGCCTGCCTCTGCCTCTCGAGTGCTGGGATAAAAGGTGTGTGCCACCACCGCCTGGCTTGTAACTGTAATTCTTATTTGATAACTGTGTTGCTATATATAATTTTACTATGTTAAAGTTAAAAACCTTCCTTTTATTTAGAAAGAAAAGAGATGATATGGGATGTCCTTCTGGATATGTTTTGCTTTTATTGGTTAATGAATAAAGATGTTTGGCCAGTGACTTAGCAGAGTTAAGTCAGGTGGGAAATCTGAACAGAGATATATAGAGTAGGCCGAGTCAGAGAGATGCCACTTAGTGGCTGAAGGAGAAGGATGCCAGAATCTTACCGATAGGCCATAGCCTCATGGTGCTATACAGATTAATAGAAATGGGTTAATTTAAGATGTAAGAGCTAGCTAGAAATATGCCTGAGCCATCGGCTAAACAGTGCTGTAATTAATATGGTTTCTGTGTGATTATTTGTCACACAGGACACCAATACGCAGTCTCAGTTTACAACAACCAACAAGACCTTTTTCCTCTTAAAGAGCTTGGTCAAATTGAATTCTAACAAAGGTCAACCTAAACTCTAAAATGAGTGGTAATCTTCAGCCAAGTTTTATGCTGCTCATAAAGGGTCCTAGTGTTCCCTTTGAAGTACGATGTCTTGACTTCTCGAATTTTTGTTTGTTTTATTTGCTATGTAGTCTAGATTGGTCTTGAACTCAGAATCTCCTGCTGCTGCCTCCCATATGCATGCTGAGATTATAGGTGTGAGCCACCATGCCCTGTCCAAGCGAAGCTCACTTCTGAGGCTATTTGAACCTCAACCACTGAGGTACCACTTATGGTAGGTTGCCTTGATGCAGCCTACCCCGCCCCCTTTGCAGTGTAATTTGGGCCAGCCTCTACCTCTGAGCTATACTCCAAACCTTACTGCACTGTTTTCTGTTAAGACATTTTAAGATAGGATCTTTCACATCCCAGGCTAGGCTTGAATTTACTAAGTAGTCCTCAGTGCCAGCCTGACCTTGAACTTCTGATCTTGCTTCCTTGTTTCCACGGGTTGAGTCACAGTTGTGTGCTACCACGCCTAGTTCATGTGGTACTGAGGTTCATCTCAAGGCTTTGTGCATTGCTAAGCTAGCACTTTACCAACTGAGCCAGACTTCTAACTCTAGATAACTGAGGTGGAGGCATGGTGGTTGCACCTGTTTAGCCCTCTATGAGTTCAAGGGCAGCCTGATCTACATAGGGAGTCCCAAGCCAGTCAGGGCTATCTGGTGAGACCCTGTCTCAGAAAACAAAATAACAACAACAACTAACATGACAACCGGCACATCTCTGTGCATAAGAAACTCCTAAGTGCTGTAGGGAATACAGCGATAGAAATGCGGCTGCTGCCTTCAAAGACGGCCTCAGCATAGTCAGCATCATTCACTGAGTATGAGGCAAGAGAGTCGGTCATGACATCATCTCTATTCTGAGTTTCCTGAGGAGGAAAACAAAGTGTTCATATAAGCACCCAGCTAAACTATAAAGAAGAATGAAGTAAGCACTCCAAAGCTAAGAAATAAGTGGAAGGGAGATGTGGAAGCTGGGGAGATCATGTATGACAATTTTGAAGCAGGATCGGGCAGCACAGGACCATGCGTCCAGTAAAGAAGCCGAAGGAATAAACCTAAGATTGTAGAGAGACAAGGCGTTAATGCAGTGTTAACCGGTTTAGAACTCATGTAGACCAGGCTGGCCTCCAAGTAACAGAGATCAGCTTGCCCCTGCCCCCGAGTTTTGGGACTAAAGGCATGTGCCACCATGCCCAGCATCCCTCTATTTCCCAGGTTGACCTTGAATTCACAAGCTTTGCTCCACCTCCAGGGTGCTGGACTTACGAGTGAGCCCCTACTTGTTGCTAGAGAACAGAGTTATTGGGGCTCCAAATGCTCCCAGACAAGAATTCCTGATGGAAAATGGCCTGGCATTTCAACAATTTCTTACATTACTGGCTTCCCCGATCATGGCTCTTCTTCCCACTGACGTCTTCCTCCTAGGTTACGGCCCAGAGTTCCCTCCTCCATTGCTTCCATGCCGCCATCAGTTTTGGAGTTCACTGTGTCTAGTCAGGCTCACAATAAAACTTCCTCATCATCTCACCTCTGCCCATCTTTCTTTACAGTGAAATCAGGCACAGCTCAAGCTACATAACCTCCCTCCCCAGGTCACACAGCTCTGCATCTGGCAGTCAGTGTTTTACCTGACCCTGTAACCTTTGACCTTGTAAAAGCACTGTTTGCTCTCACAGGCTTGTTCCTTAGACACGTGGATTTGAGAGATATTTAACATCTTCTCATCCTGTCTTGTGGGTAGAAGGGATTGTGTCAGAGACCTCACCATATGTCATGAAGATGGGTTCTTGGGGAATAGGTTCCCCAAGAATAGATTCCTCTGAATCTTTTTGTTTGTTTGTTAGTTTTTGATTTTCCAGATAGGGTTTTTCTGTGTAGCCATGGCTGTCCTGGAACTAGCTCTGTAGACCAGGCTGGCCTTAAACTCACAGAGATCCTCCAACCTCTGCGCCCCCCCCCCCCAGTGCTGGAATTAAAGGCCTGCACCACCCTTGCCCAGCCTCTGAATCTTTTAATTGATACCCTCCCTTGTCCTCAAGAAGCAAAGATGATATCTAGACTTCAAGGAATCTAGAGAAAGGGTAGATCCATCCTGAGCCTGTAAGTGTGCAGTGTCCCTAGAACACCATTTCTTCAGAGTTGGCTAGGATGTCACTTATTTGGTTTGTGGGGTGGGGTTTGCTATGACAAGGTCTCACCCAGGTTGGTTTCAAACGCCTCAACTAATATATCATCCTGCTTCAGCCTACCGAGTAGCCAGGACGACAGTCAGGTGGCCCTACATGAGATGCCACATATTTGGACGAGAGTCTTTTGACCAAATCTATTGATAGTCCAGGGCTACAATGCCAGCTCCTTTCTCATTTCCATCCCCTCTACACGTGCTCCACAGGCAGGAGCTGTTACTATGGAAATGTATTATTTTTAAAAACAGACAGCCCTGGGCTTGGGAAATATCTCGAGAACAAACCCACGCAAGCAAGGAGGTTAATAGGGGGTTCCTGAATCCTAGCTCCAAGGGGAAGGAGGACGATGGTAGTGTTCTATTTGCAACCTTACCAGATTTAGGTTCATTTTTCTCGCCGTTGATATTAGCTGGACTTCTTCCAGGCACCTCTATCTGGGAGGAATACCTAACCCCTCCTTACCCAGGGCCTAGCTTCAACCACGGAGTAAGACCAGAAGCTGCTGAGCCAGGTATTGGAAGTGGGTGCTGATTTCCACAGGGACCAACTCATTCTTAACCCCACAGGCGTCCAACCTGTAGAAATCTAAGGAGCGCAAGGGAAAACAGGCAATATCTCAGATAAGTGAAGTTCTCTTGCCTGGTACTGAAGGGGTGCGCCCGGATTTCAGGGCGGGCGGGGCGGTTAAAGACTCCGCCTATTTTCATCCCGGAACCCTCTACGTGTGCAGCTCAACTCCCAGCCCTGCTCCAGCTCTGAGCGCCAGGCAGGTTAGGCCCCGCCCGCTGCGGGCGCGGCTCCTTTAAGGGTGTGTGGGGGCGGGGCGCTGGCGGTGTTGTCAGTGTCAGTTCTGCGCACGCAGCCCTCCCTCCCAGAGCCGGTGCCAGCCCGCGAGCCCCGGTGTCTCTGCAGACCGGTCCCCACCCGAGTCCAGCGGGGCCCGCGCCGTGGGAGGAGTCTGATGCTGGCTAGCGACTAGCTGGGGTCACATCGCCGGACCCTGCGACCCGGATCCCGGGCTAACGGAGACAGAGCCCAGGCGTCGAGACCCCTGAGGACCTCTGCTCTATCCGTGGCACCCACCGGTCCTGGAATCTCCGCGGCGCCGAACCTCGGAGCCCGCGCGCTCAGCCCCGGGGGAGCTCGCCCACGCCTCGCGACCCGCCTGGGCCATGCTCCCCCGGGGCAGCGGCTGAGCCCGAGCCGGGACCTGAGCCCGCGGGAGCATGGATCCGGGCTGGGGGCTGCGGGACGTGGGCTGGGCGGCCCTGCTGTTCCTCTTCGCCGCCTCGCTGCTCACGGTATTGGGCTGGCTACTGCAGTATGCTCGGGGTTTGTGGCTGTCGCGGGCCGGTGGGGGCCAGGACTTCCGACCCATCTCAGCCGCGGAGCCCGGGGGTTCACTCCGCGAGCTGGGTGTGTGGCGTTCGCTGCTGCGTCTGCGGGCGATCCGGACCGGCGCCTCTGAGGAAACCGGCGTCCGGGGCCTCCTGGCTTCTCTCTTTGCCTTCAAGTCTTTCCGGGAGAACTGGCAACGGGCTTGGGTGCGAGCCCTGAACGAGCAGGCCTGCAGGGACGGGGTGAGTCTCATGGAGTCCCTGTGTCGTCTCTACAGCTTTGCCCCTTCTAGGGAAAGAGCCTGCTCGTGTTAGGAGGGCTGGATTAGGGCTGGATAAGAGCTTGAGATCACCTGCAGAACCCCATAGCTTTCTCTTTCAGATCAGAGAAAAGCGTGCAGTGAGGCTGGGGGTTGTAGAAGTCCAGTTATGTACCACATTTTCTATTTTTATGTGCAAGGTCCTCCGGTTCCAAACCTAGTACAAGTTACTGTTCTCATAGCAACGCTAATCCGTGTGCCTGAGGGCACTTCCGCCTAGACTGGGCTGGCTGGCCAGAGAGACAGGTGCACCTGCAGAAGGAATTTGCCTGGTCCTCATGCCACCACACCCAGTTAAGATTTCAGGCTCCTAAGCCCTGGAGGTCAGGTAGACCCCCCCCCCAAGGTAACGGAATCATTCCTCCACCTATCAGCAATTTAACTACTACAGCCAAACATCTCCCCCCCCTCCCCGCCAGGCTGGGCTGAGGCTAGTGTTGAAGGGAAAGGAGTTCAGTTAAAGGGCAATGCTGATAATCTGTGTCCTTTCTAATTAAATGAACTTAGGCTGCCCCTTGAGGGTCAGCCATAAACCATCTCAGCCTACCTCCACCCCTTGCACCACGGGCATCTGACCTCCCAGGAAGTGGGTAGGAAACAGTCATGAGACTGAGGTTGGAAGGCAGAGGTCTGTCTCCCTTTTCTGGCCCAGCAACCTCTCCTGGCCCTCCACCTGTCCGCCCCTTTCTCAGAGGCCTCCTTCTGTCTCCAGCCATAAGAGCTTGGATGCCTGGAAACAGAAGTGGTTCTAAGAAGTTGTCTTGTTTCCTCTTCCCAGCTGGCCGGCTATAGCCAGATGACATCTGTCAGATTACACATTGAACCTATCCCTCCAACCTGGCTCTTCCTGGACCTTGTCCCTGGGTCAGAAGCAACTCCCTGGGACAGCTGACTCAGCTGGACATTGGCCTCTCTTGCAGGGGGAGGGGGAGATCCAGATTCGAAGTTCTCAGCTCCTAGCCACTTGGGCACAACTTTTGAAGAAGACAGCTACTGTAGCAGGGAAATTGCCTTCCCCTGGTTTGCCAGGGGAAGTGAGTGAGCCCTGAGAATTTGTTTTCTTTACCTTAAGCCTTGAGGACAAGTTGCCAACCCAGGCTGTGCCCCCTCCTCAGTTCCTCCGTCCTGTTCTCCCCTGCTGTAGAATAGGAGTGGCTCTTTTTGACAGCTAAGCAGCCGTCAGCTCCCTAATTACCGTCCTGATGTCCGACTTAAGGAATTAACCGGGCCTGGGACACTTTAGCCCTCCCTCAAAGCCATGCTAAGTCAGCCTTCACGTCTAAGAAATTAGGCAGTGATACCTTCTATGTATCTGTGAAAAGGCCAGGCTTTATTTCTTCATCTTATTTTATAGTAAGTGACACAACTATTTCCACCCTGCCCAGCAACAGATGGCAATGAACACGCCCATTTTTTTTTTTTTAAGTTTTTCGAGACAGGGTTTCTCTGTAGCTTTGGAGCCTGTCCTGGCACTAGCTCTTGTAGACCAGGCTGGCCTAGAACTCACAGAGATCCGCCTGCCTCCCGAGTGCTGGGATTAAAGGCGTTCGCCACCACTGCCCGGCAACACGCCCATTTTTGTTGTTGTTCACTTTTATTTGTGATTAGAGTGAAGAGTTAGGTAGAGGGGGGACAGGAAGGTTCCTGGAATTTGAAGAGGTATCCAAGGTTCAAGTCAAGTTCGCTTCCAAGGCAGATGGGATCCAGGTACTCAGCAGCCACTTGGAAGCTGCAGGTTCCTGCAGAGTGGGGCTTAAGAGGAATGCCTTCTATTTTAAAGTCCTGAGCCAAGGAGGAGCAAGGCCAGCCTGTAGCGGAGGCCTCTGCAGTGCTAGAATCCAGCCAGCAACTGAGCAGACCAGCCCTGGAGGGGACAGCTCCAGAGACTTGATCTTGTGCCCATATTACTTCCTCAGAGCTCCATCCAAATCGCCTTTGAGGAGATTCCCCAACTCCCACCCAGAGCCAGCATTAGTCATGTGACCTGCGTAGACCAATCAGAGCGTACCATGGTAAGGGTCTGGTGGGGACTATCTATTAGGTCCAGAGGGGGATTGACCTAAAGTTTCCCTATAAGTCTGAGGATTTGTAATTTTGAGTTTCTGTGTGCCTGAGGATCTAAGGATTTGTTTCAGGAGGTCTAAGACTCTCACTGAAGTGATAGGCAAAAACAAAATGTGTGTGTGTGTGTGTGTGTGTGTGTGTGTGTGTGTGTGTGTAGGCGTTTTGGGCTTTTAGCTAATTCATTGAGAAGCTTAGGACCCCAACAAGGTAGTATCCCAAGGAAAACAGAAATGGGGAGGGGTTTATTTTGAAGCATCATGGGGCAGGGCAAAGCAAGGTAAGCATCTTCCTCAACGCCCGACCCTGCCTCCCTCTCAGGTGCTGCACTGCCAGCTCTCTGCTGAGGAGGTGCGCTTCCCCGTCTCTGTGACCCAGCAGTCTCCCGCTGCCGTCTCCATGGAGACCTACCACGTCACTCTGACACTGCCACCAACACAGGTGGAGGGAAATGTGGGAAACTAAGTTGGGCAGAGGACAGTTGAATTGGCCCAGGATTTTTCTTTTGGTGGCTCTCTGGGATGGATTTGGGGAGGGGAGGGTCCTGAGGAGTCCTTGGAAGAATGAGGCCTGTCACCCTAACCCTTTGGCTCTTGTCGCTAGTTGGAAGTCAGCCTAGAGGAAATCCCTGATGAGGGGCTGCTGGTGTCCTGGGCCTTCACTGACCGCCCAGATCTCAGCCTAACGGTGCTTCCTAAGCTGCAGACCAGAGAGGTAAGAAGGGGGCAGGCAGAGAAGAGGCTGTCGCTGCAGTGGAGCACGGCACAGGCTCCACCTCCTTTCCTCTCCGCAGAGAGATGAGGAACAAGCAGAACTTTCAACAGTTGAGGAACTGATCAAGGATGCTATAGTTAGCACTCAGCCTGCCATGATGGTCAACCTCAGGGCCTGCCCTGCCCCAGGAGGCCTGGTGAGTGGACACCCAAAGGGAAAGATTTGTGTGTATCCCGTCTCCAGGATCCTCTATCAGGAGCATTGCTCCTTTTACCGCCTTCTGCTCCTAGGGACCCAGTGAGAAGCCGCCCATGCTGTCTCAGGCCCAGCCAGTCATCCCCAGACCTACGCGATTATTCCTACGGCAGCTTCGAGCATCTCACCTGGGAAGTGAGCTGGGAGGTAAGAACTCCATTGCCCTTGCCATGGGTACAGACAGCCCCTTCCCCTCGGCCAGTGGCACAGTTTCCCTGTTCGTTGGACTGGGTGTCTTCTGCCTGAGCATCCTCTAACCTCTGGTTTCTTTCAGGTACTGAGGAGCTGTGCTGTGCCGCCGAGCTTGACAACCCCATGCAACAGAAGTGGACCAAGCCCATGAAGGCTGGTCCTGAGGTGGAGTGGACAGAAGACCTGGCGCTGTAAGTCAGGCCCTGCTCCCAGCCTCTGTCCTCATAGGCAGTCAGGTTTTAGAAACCTTTCCAGGTTAGTCTTGGCATGAGTCAGCCAGCCCTGTTTTCAGTAGCCTTTAGTGTAGACCTCTATTGTGTGCCAAGTCCCTGGGGACAGAGAGGAGAGGAGATACAGCCCTGCCTCTGGGTACATCACAGGTCTGAGGCTGAGACAGACGTGTACCTAGGGAGATAGGGCAGAGTGCCAGCTGAGATTCATGCACAGTGTACCTGGGAGTGCCTAGATAGGGTAGATGGAGCCTTTTTCTTTCTTTTTTTTTTGGGGGGGGGGAGTTTCCAAGACAGGGTTTCTCTGTAGCTCTAGTAGACCAGGCTAGCCTCAAGCTCACAAAGATCTACCTGGCCTCTGCCTCCCGAGTGCTGGGATTAAAGGTGTGTGCCACCACTGCCCGGCAAGAAGAATTCTTATAATGAGAAAAAGATGTGATGAGTCTTCACGGAAGAGGTACATTTAAATCGGACCTTCAAGCAAGCATAGCATTGACCAGAACGTGAACGTCTTGACTATGGGAACAGTTTGAGGAGAAAACAAACAAACAAACGGCTAGGGCTAGAGAGATGGCTCACAGGTTTAGAGCACTGGCTGTTCTTCCAGAGGTCCTGAGTTCAATTCCCAACAACCACACGGTGGCTCACAGCCATCTGCAATTTGATCTGGCACCTTCTTCTGGCATGCAGGCAGAACACTATGTACATAATAAATAAATAAATCTTTTTTTTTTTTTTTTTTTTTGTTTTTTAAGACAGGGTTTCTCTGTGGTTTGGAGGCTGTCCTGGAACTAGCTCTTGTAGACCATGCTGGTCTCGAACTCACAGAGATCTGCCTGCCTCTGCCTCCCAAGTGCTGGGATTAAAGGCGTGCGCCACCACCGCCCGGCTAAATAAATAAATCTTATTTTACAAATAATAATAATCAACGAATGGCAGCTACAGACTGAGAGACACACGAGGTGGAAGAGTGATGGGGATATGAATGTCTGGCTGAGGAAAGTGGTTTCCACGCATGACTTGCTCCATGCTCCTAGGAAAATGGATGACTTGGTTGGAGCCCTAGTGCTGTCTCTGTTTCTAGCCTTTGACTGACTCGAGGGTGGGTTCAGTTTGCTACGCCCATTCTTCCCTGACATGTCCATCCTCTTTTGGCCTTCAGGGATCTGGGTCCCCAGAGCCGGGAACTGACCCTCAAAGTGCTCAGGAGCAGCGGGTGTGGAGACGGTAAGTGCGGGGTAGAAGGGGCGCTTCTGAGTGGGTACTCAGCAGGTCCTGCTCATGGGTCCAGCTCACAGCGTCACCCTTATCTCCAGCGGAACTCCTTGGCCAAGCCACACTGCCTGTGGGCTCACCCTCTAAACCACTGTCACGAAGACAAGTGTGCCCACTAACTCCAGGGCCAGGGAGTTCCCTGAGCCCAGCGGCTACCATGACAGCAGAGGTGAGAAGGGGACCGCTTTGGGGAGGTGAGTAGAGGGAGCCTGGGCCGTCTCCGAGATCCTGACCCCTGCTCTCCTCACCACCTGGCAGCTGCACTACGAGCAGGGCTCCCCTCGGAACCTGGGCACACCCACCTCGTCCACCCCTCGCACCAGCATCACACCTACCAAGAAGATTGAGCTGGACCGGACCATCATGCCCGATGGCACCATTGTTACCACTGTCACCACTGTCCAGTCCCGGCCCCGTGTAGATGGCAAATTAGGTAAAGAGGAGTAGCCCTAGACATGGCCTTAGACTAAAGCGCATTGCCTGACAGGGAAAGGGGAAGGGAAGCCTTAACAGCAAGCAGCACATCTTGTTTCCTGGTGACACACTTTGACCAGCTACTTCCTCTTCTCTCAGACTTCCCTCACACCTCTCCATCAGCTAGCCCCTCCATCCATCAGCTAGCCCCTCCATCCGTCAGCTAGCCCCTCCATCCGTCAGCTAGCCCCTCCATCCGTCAGCTAGCCTCTCCCCATTTACTCCTTTGGAATCTGCCCATCTTTCCTCTTGCTCTAGGTTCCTTTCTATCTTTCCATGGGTGTCTTTCCTTCCTTGAATCTAGCCCCAACTGGCTAAAATTGTTCCACTTCTACTCCCAACCTTATGTGGTCTCTGGGCTCTTCCAGCAAACCTGGGGGCTTCTGTGACATTTTTCTATCTCCAGTGGCCTTAACCTCACACTTGTTCCTTCTCTGGGAATCCCATGGCAATTTCCCTATCTTTACAGAGCCCTAAGCATTCTCCATATATGTGTGGTATCTCCCTGTACTGTCAGTGGGCCCCATGGCGCTTTCCCACACTGTCATTGGTCCCTCTAGCATCTTTTCCGTTTGTACAGCATCTTCTTAATCACTTGTGATTAATCCCTCTTAATCATCCTTGCCCTCTGAGTCAACCAAAGGCTGCATCTCAATAAAGACAGGGGTGGGGGCCATTCTAAAGCACTTCCCAGCTCACTCCCCCTCCCCCGCCCACCAGACTCCCCCTCCCGCTCCCCGTCCAAGGTGGAGGTGACTGAGAAGATGACAACTGTGCTGAGCGAGAGCAGTGGCCCCAGCAATGCCTCCCACAGCAGCAGCCGTGAGTGGGGAACGGGATGAGTGAGCACTGGTGGGCCCTAATGCCCCTGTCGTCAAGAACTTCTTTGGGTGGAGCAAGAAGAGTTTGGGTCCAAGAAGTCAGACAGAAGTCAAGCTATGCGTCCTCTGTATCTCCCAGCAGGAGAGAGCCACCTTTCTAACGGCTTGGACCCAGTAGCAGAGACAGCAATTCGCCAGCTGACTGAGCCCAGTGGGCGGGCAGCCAAGAAGACACCCACCAAGCGCAGCACGCTTATCATCTCTGGTGTTTCCAAGGTAACAGAGCTCTGGGGAGAAAGCTAAGATGGGGAGAATGGCCTAATGGGTCATTCTTGCCCATTGAAACCTGTCCCTTCTGGCAGGTGCCCATTGCTCAGGACGAGTTGGCACTGTCCTTGGGTTATGCAGCTTCTATGGAAGCCTCAATGCAAGATGATGCAGGAGCCAGTGGTGGTCCTTCGTCACCCCCCTCAGACCCATCAGCCACATCCCCAGGACCCCTCGATGCCCTCTCCAGTCCCACAAGTGTCCAGGAAGCAGATGAGACAACACGTTCAGACATCTCTGAGAGGCCGTCAGTGGATGATGTGGAGTCAGAAACAGGGTCGACTGGTGCCCTGGAGACCCGAAGCCTCAAGGATCACAAAGGTAGGGAGTGATGGACAGTTTATCCCCCTACTGCAGGGCTGAGATAGAGTCTAGCCTGGAATTCACCATGTAGCCCAGGCTAGCCTCAAACTTGAAATAAATCTTTGTCTCAGTTTCCCAAGTGCTAAATTCTAGGCATGGGCCACTACTCTCAGCTGTCTACCACTTTTTATGTCACCGTATTGTCACCGCAGTCCTACTAGACAGCTTGAGGCCATGGTAGGCTCAGCTAACTTGCCTTTGAGGGTCAGGCAAACTCCAGTAGAGCAAGGAACTCGGTGCTTCCGTTCCTAGCCTGATTATGGACAAAGTGGGGTGACAGCATGGGAAGTCACCACATTGACCTTTCTTCCTGGGTTAACAGGCTTGTTTTCTTTCACTTGCTTTTGTTGTTTGCAGACTGGGTCTCATGTAGTCCAGGCCACCTCAAACTTGCTATATACCTGAAGTCAGCCGTAACTATCTGATCTTCATGCCTCCACCTCCCAGCCATTGTTGTTAAGATTATAGGAGGCACCAACATGCCTAGCCATTCTTTTTAAAAAACATTACGTTTTTTTTTTCATTTTATTGTATTTTTGTGTGTGTATTCATGAGCGCACATCATAGCACACAATCTACCATGTGGGTTCCTGAGATTTAACTGTAGTTGTCATGTTTGGCAACAAATACCTGTTGAGAAATCTTTAACAATTATTTTTAAATGTATATGGGTGTTTTGCCAACATATATATCTGTGCATCACATGTGTGCCTGGTGCCCAAAGAGTTCAGAAGAGGTTGTTGGATGCCATGGAAGTGGAGTTATAGACAGTTATGAGCTGCCACGTGAAGTCTGGGAATCAAACCTTGGTCCTCTGGGAGAGCAACCAGTGCTTTTAACCACCGAGCCATCTCTCTAGTGTCCTGCTGAGATATGTACTAACTCTTGTTTATTTTTTGTTTTGTTTTGAGACAGGGTCTCATGATATACCCAAGGTTGGCCTGGAACTCACTGGTTTTCCCTCCTCCTTTACTCTGTATCCCCAGTTGCATGGATATAAGGAATTCTACTCCATGCCAATTTTAAAGTTGTTGTTCTGAGCCGGGTATGGTGGTCCACACATTTAATCCCAGCACTCCAGAGACAGAGGCAGGTGGTTCTGTAAGTTCAAAGCCAGTCTGGTCTGTACAGTGAGTTCCAGGATAGCAACAAATACACAGTAGTGAGACCATGTCTCAAAAAAAAAAAAAAATGGAAAATTATTCCTCTGAGCCAGGGATGGTGGCACTGAGTTATCCCAGCACACGGGGCTGGAGCAGGGTTTTGAGTAAGTTCAGTTTACAGACCGCATATTGAGGCTGTCAAAGAGGAAAGGAGGGAATCCTCCCTCTGGTAGTGACTCAGGTTGCCAACAACATTCCTAACTTCAAAGGACAGAGTTTGCTGTCATGTGTCTTCACCCTTTGACCAAGAAGCCTGTCAGCTGCGGTCTGTCTGGATTTAAAAGTCAGTGTGGTAGTGCAGGCTGTAGTCTCAGTACTTGAGAGTCTACTGCAAGTGCATGGCTGTGAGTTTAAGATCAGCCAGGGTTGCATAATGGGTTCAAGTTCAGCTTGGGCTACAAATCCAGATTCTGCCTCAAACAAAACTAACAAAAAAGAATTTCAGGGCTAAAGAGATGGCTCAGTGGTTAAGAGCATTGCCTGCTCTTTCAAAGGTCCTGAGTTCAATTCCAGGCAACCACATGGTGGCTCACAACCATCTGTAATGAGGTCTGGTGCCCTCTTCTGGCCTGCAGGCATACACACAAACAGAATATTGTATACATAACAAATAAATATTTAAAAAAAAAGAATTTCAATTTGTGGCTTGCCTCACTTCTTGAGGTAAAGGAGTTTTTAAGTCCAAAGCCTGCTGTGTGAGCATCTTCCTCTCTCTCTCTCTCACACCCATATTTATCTCTTTGAGGTTTCCAGACTCCCCACTGCTCACACCCTGGAATGCATATGTTAACTCATCTTTCCTTTTATGATTTATAGGCTTTGAGGAACACCCTCTGTGCAGCCTTTGTCTTTCCACAGAAGGGGGCTGAGTCCCAGCAAAGCAGCAGCCCCTGCCTGGGTTATTTCTCCCGGTGATAGGGTCAGAAGTGCACCCAGATCCCTCCCCTAGAATGTTGTTCCTTCCTCAGGATGGGTAAAGCCCTTGTGCGCTTCCACTTTCTTTCCTGAGAAAGGCAGGCGTTAGGCAAGAGACTTTTTATTCTTCATTTTCTGTCCTAACGTCCTAAGTCTCCATCCTCACCCCATTCCTGTGCCACTCTGTCTGCCTCAATTTCCCTTTTCCCCACAGTGAGTTTCCTACGCAGTGGCACTAAACTCATCTTCCGCCGGAGGCCACGACAGAAGGAAGCTGGTCTGAGCCAGTCACACGATGACCTCTCCAACACGACAGCCACACCTAGCGTCCGGAAGAAGGCTGGCAGCTTTTCCCGTCGCCTTATCAAGAGGTTTTCCTTCAAATCCAAACCCAAGGCCAATGGCAACCCCAACCCCCAGCTCTGAGAGCCTCCTGAACTAGGAGAGGGCAAGAGTTCTCTCAGCCCATTCCCCACATCCCCTTCTGTACCCCTCCCTGGATTCCCAGTGCTGGGGCAAGGAAAGCCTTCGGGTTCTAAGAAGCCCCAGCACTCTGGGCTGTGGGGTGAGTTGGAAGGATGTTTGACATGGGAAGCATTTGAGAGGCAGGCACTCATGGTTGTGGACGTAGAAGAGAGTTTGGCAGCTGGGAGTCAGAGGCAGGCTCTGTCTTGGCATGTGTGGACATTCTTCAGAAGTCTGTGCCCTCTGCTGGTACTGCCCCCAGAGTGGAGCCCCGGGGCACTCATCTCCTTCTCCCTTATTTATTCTCTTTTCTATTTATATGTGTGGTCTAGGACCCTAGCATCTAGCATCTGCCAACAGATGCTAGAGGGCATCTCTCCCAGGTGACCCTTTCTGTCCCAGGAGGGTAAGGCAATCTCCAAGAGGGTTTCTACACCTCTCTTGGGGGTTCCTGCTTAGACCAGCACCAGTGTCTGTCTCAGGAAGACATTGGCAGATCATAGGAAGCCGGGCTAGTGCCCAGGATGGGGGGCAGGTACTCCCCACCTCCCTACCTCCCACACTGCTCCTCTTCTCTCCTTCCCCTTTATTACCATTTTGTACTTGATGCCTTCTCCATGAGCAGTGGCTCAGTTAGGAGGGAGCCAGGAAGCTGGTAGGAAGCCTTTCCTAGAGAGGTAGCGTTAGGAGCTTTAAAGACTGTGCGATCATAGAGCGAGGTTGCACCTCTATGTTGGGGGATGATGATGTCCATTGCTGTGTGATGGCTTGGAATTTAATTTATTTAATTAAAGTCAAATTGGAATTTATAAACGAGAGCTGCTGGTTATCCTTTGAAAAGCAAACGGGCAGCGAGGCTGTGGTACTGATAGAGTAAGAGGATCGTTGGCACTGCCCTAGGTATGAGGAAGGACAGGAGACAAAGATGCTCCAGAAGACAAAGAGACATGTAGAGAGGTTTGAGTGACAACACTCTGAAAAGTTGCTGCAAAAAAAAAAAAAAAAAAAAAAAAAAGCTAATCTGCTAGGCCCCTTGTCTTCATCCCCCCTCTCAAATAGACTGTTCTTTCTAGGTCATAACAGAGTTCAGAGCATGGACGCTGGGCCGGAATTGTTTTTGATTTGAGACCCAGCTTCACTGGTTACCTTCATGACCATGGCCAAATATGGATACCCAGTTGTTTTTGTTACTGTTTTATCCAGACTCTCACCTATGTTGCCCTAGCTGGCTTGGAACTCCTTTACGTAGACCAGGCTGTCCTTGAACTCAGAGGTTCCACTGCCTCTGCCTCCTGAGTGCTGGGATCAAAGGTGTGCGCGCTGTGCGCCACCACTGCCTGGCTGTGTGCTCAGTTTTGTTTTGTTTCGTTTTTCTGTAAAATGGGGACTATGTGCTGGGGACATAACTCAAAGGTAGAACACTATCCTAGCATACCTGGATTTTGTCTCTGGCATCATTTAATAAAGTAGGTGGAGCCAGGTGTGGTGGCATAAACATTTTATCTCAGTAGCTGGGAGTCAGAAGCAGGAGGATCTACAGACTTGTCTCTGTCTCCTCTCCTTTGGGATGTCACACAGGACCTGAGCCAGGTGAACCCGCTGCAGGAAGTTGTGCAGAGTGCAGAACCAATAGGAAGGAAATGCCTGCCACAAGTATCTCCTTATCGGTACTAGCTACTTCTCCTTTCTGGACACCAGTTTCTTTACCTCTAACTCGACAGTGGCCTTGGATACTCAAGACACTTCTAACCTTGACATATAACAAACTCGGGATTGGGTTTGTGGACAGACAGCATGGATTCTTTTTTTTTTTTTTTCCTGATAAAGGGTATTGCTATTTGGCCCACACCGGCCTTAGAGTTTCTTAGTGCTGAGAATACAGGTGTGTGTCATCATACTTGACTGTTACTTGTTTTGTTTTGAGACAGGGTTTCTCTGTGGAGCCCTGGCTGTCCTGGAACTTGCTTTTTAGACTAGACTGGCTTCAAACTCACAGAGATCTGCCTGCATCTACCTCTCTAGAGCTGGGATTAAAGGCATGTGCCACCACCACTTAGCACACATAAACTCTTCTACTTACCTGTATCCCAAAGCCCTTTTTGCCTTTTAGAGATAAGGGTCTAACTTACCCAGGCTGGTGTTGAACTCCTCTGTAGCTCAAATTGACCTTGGTATCATCCTCCTGTCTCCACAGGGATTAAAGTGCTGGGATTAAAGATAAGTACTCACATCTGACCCAATCTGTACCTTTTAATGAGCGTAAATGATGATGGGGAGGGCCGAAGCTTTTAGAAAACTAATCTCAATGTCTGGATAGTCCAGTCAAAATTGTTGTTTTTTCTCTATAAAAGATGAAAGTTGCCAGGCAGTGGTGGCACATGTCTTTAATTCCAGCACTTGGGAGGCAGAGGCAGGCGGATCTCTCTGAGTTTGCAGCCAACTTGGTCTACAAAGATAGTTGAAGGACAGCCAAAACTATGGAGAAACCCTGTCTCAAAAAAAGGGGGGGGGGAGGAAGAAGAAATAAAAAGTATAAAGAGTTCTATGTTTTAATTTAGGCAGGTGGATCTCTGAGTTCAAGGTAAGCCTGGTCTACAGAGTAAGTTCTAGGACAGCCAGGGCTGCACAAAGAAATCCTGTTTCAAAAACAAACAAAAGCTACACTAGACAGTCTTAAAAGATGTGGACATTTTTCATTTATGTGTTTGTTGAGACAGGGTCTTACTGTGTTTACCTGACGGGCCTCCAACTTGGATCCAGAAACCTGCTTGCCTCTGCCACCCACCCCCATAGCCTAGTGCTAGGATTAAAGGCATAGCTCACCATATCCTGGTAATTAAAATCTGGAAACACGGGTCCATAAAAATACTGAGATCTGTACTCTGAAAACTACGAATTCACACATTTTCGTGACAAGTTTTTCTGCATGGAATTACTAAGATGGCTAAGGACCGTTTTCAGTGCTATAACCCACAATTAAAACAAGAGCTAGCATCTTATGAAGTGGTGCTGGAATCATGAATTTCCAAATAAGGTTGATAAAATAACTTTATGATGGCACATGCCTTTGTTTCCAGCACTCATAAAAACAAGAAGAAGAGAGGCTAAAGAGAAGCTTCAGCCAAAAAGGACATTTGCTCTTTTTTACAGAGGATCCAGGCTCAGTTATCAGCACTCACATGGCGGTTTGTAACCATCTGTAACTCTAGTTTCTGGGGATCTGATGCCCTCTTCTGGCACCAGGCCACACGTGATGCACACACATTTAGGTGAAACACTGAGAAATTTTTAGTTTTTAAGATGGTATTAAGACGGCTCAGTGTTAAGAGTACTATTGCTCTCGCAGACGACCCAGGTTTGGTTCCCAGCCCCCACATGGCAGCTCACAACCATCTATAACTCCAATTCCGGGGGACCTTTGCAGGCATGGCACGTACATGGTGTTATTCATACATGCAGGCAAACACTCATAGACAGTAAATAAATAAATCTTAGCCAGGAGTAGTGGCGCACGCCTTTAATCCCAGCAGTCCGGAAGCAGAGGCAGATAACGGGAGTGCGCACCATCAGGGCCAGCCTGGTCTACGTGGGATAACAGGGGTGTCATCAGGGCTAGCCTGGTCTACGTGGGATAAAAGAAGTGTGCCACCTTGACCACAGTTGCTTTCTTTTTACTTTTTTTTTTTTAGATTTATTTATTATGTAAACTGAGGTTTGTCTGCATGCAGGCCTGCAAGCCAGAAGAGGGTACTAGATCTCATTATAGATGGTTGTGAGCCACCATGTGGTTGCTGGGAATTGAACTCAGCACCTTTGGAAGAGCAGGCAGTGCTCTTAACCTCTGAGCCATCTCTCCAGCCTGCTTTCATTTTACTTTTGAGATAATATCTCACTAAATTGTTTTGACAGGTCTTGGGGGATCTTTTTGCCTCCTCAGAGGCAGAAGACGTGGGATTACAGGCATTGGAATACCTAGCTCAACTTGACCTATTTTTATGTTGTCTTTAAACTTTTATTTATGTGGACATTAAAAAAAATCCCTTTTTGAGAAGGTGTGTCATAGCCCAGCTAGGCTGTCTTGTCACGTACTGTACAGTCCTCCCTCCCCTCAACTGACCTCAGATTTGTGATCTTCCTGGCTCCACTTCCCCAGCCCCGGGGTTACAGGTGTGTAGGTGTCCCGCACCAATCTTAATGTGGTGGTTGGTTTCATTTGTTTTGTTTTTGTTTTCTAAGGAGAGGTCTCACTGTATAAACCTGGCTGACCAGGCTGGCCTAGAATTAATAAAGATCTACCCTGTCTCCTCCCTGTGCTAGGATTAAAAGATGTCCATCTGCTCCTTTCCCCTTCCTCTGACTCCCCCCTTACCTTAATGTATTTCCTGATTACACAAATTATATAGGTTTATTTTTAGAAGAGGTATAAATGATAATGCAATAAATCATCAATCCTAATAAATATTATTACTCAGATACATTCTTTTTTAAATGTTTATTTTTATTTATTTATTTTGTTTTTGGTTTTTCGAGACAGGGTTTCTCTGTGGTTTTGGAGCCTGTCCTGGAACTAGCTCTTGTAGACCAGGCTGGTCTCAAACTCACAGAGATCTGCCTGCCTCTGCCTCCCGAGTGCTGGGATTAAAGGCGTGCGCCACCACTGCCCGGCTAAATATTTATTTATTATGTATACAATATTCTGTCTGTGTGTATGCCTGCAGGCCAAAAGAGGGCACCAGACCCCATTACAGATGTTGTGAGCCACCATGTGGTTGCTGGGAATTGAACTCAGGACCT